CTCTGTCTCTCAAAAATAAATAAGCATTGAAAAAAAATTTTTTTAAATAAACATTGAAAAAGATAATAATCCCAGAGCCTGAACACTGAGCCTCTCCTTGGTGCCTAGCTGACACTGAGCACTGTACCAGGGTGATCTGAGTGAATCATCAACCAGCCCGTGGGTGGGTATTGTTATTATCTGCATTTTACACTGGAGGAAACTGAGGCACCGAGGGTTAAGCACCCTGCCTATGGGCACATAGGGAAAAGTGAGAAAGCTGGGTGTCTGCAGGCCCTGCCTGGATTCTTTCTGCATCTTGAATCTCCAGATCCTGAGGATTTGGATGATTCCTATCACTAGGGAGCTGTTGGGAAGGAAAATTTGAGAGGGAGGCAGAGACCAGCAGACCCTGAGGCCAAAAAGCCGAGAAAGGGGCCTGGATGAATCAAGATTGTGGACCGAATGGTGGCAGGAGTGGGGGTGGAGAGGGTGGGGGATAGAAGCAGCAGGACCAGGAACAGAGCTCTGGTAAGAAGCCACCGATTCCTGCGGGACGGTGGACCAGTGCATTCCCTGAGCACCTGCTCTGTGCCCAGCCCTGTGCTGCCGTAACCCTGACAGCCCTATCCCTGGGATGGAGGCGCCCCGAGGGTGGGGGTTGGTGGGGACATCACCGTGAGTCAGAGTGAGGGGGGCCAGGCATCCACTTTTTATTGCCTTTCTCCTTTCTTTGCTTTATTCTGCTGTAGTTGACATTGTTTCCAACTTCTTAAGATGTGCACTTAGCTTGTGAATTGTTAGCCTTCCTCCTTTCTTTGTGCATTGATGGGAACGGGTTCTCCCTAGACCTCCTGCACCGCACTGTCCTCCCAGGCTGTCCCTTTACCTTCGTGTGGGGATTCCTTTTGCCTCGCTTCCGGGGCTACGCTTAGTTCTTTGATCTGATAGTTCCCTTTTTCTTCGTTCACTGTTTTCATATTGGAGAAGCAAATCCTGGGGCGCCTGGGTGGCGCAGTCGGTTAAGCGTCCGACTTCAGCCAGGTCACGATCTCGCGGTCTGGGAGTTCGAGCCCCGCGTCAGGCTCTGGGCTGATGGCTCTGAGCCTGGAGCCTGTTTCCGATTCTGTGTCTCCCTCTCTCTCTGCCCCTCCCCCGTTCATGCTCTGTCTCTCTCTGTCCCAAAAAATAAATAAATGTTGAAAAAAAAATTAAAAAAAAAAGAGAAGCAAATCCTCCGGTAGCTTCCTGAGAAGGGTTCCCGGACAGGTATTTTTGTTTTTGCACATTTGCGCCTCTCACAGAAAGGTTTTCAGCAGGGGAGTGATGTGGTCTGATTTCTGTTTGGAGCAGTCTCTCTGGCTACCGTGGAAAGGATAGAGCCGGAAGAGCTAAACTAGGCCAGTTGAGCCAAGTGCGGAGGCTGGAGCAGCTGTGCCTTCGAGGAGAGGTCCCAGCCTTCCAGAAACCCACAGGGTGGAGGGGAGATGGGCCCTCACCCAGGTCATTGTCATTCCGCAGTGACAGGTGACAGGTGCTGCCAGAGGAGGCCTCAGGAGGAAGAGATCCCGAATAGCTTGGGAGGGCACTCCCGAATAATTCCTGGAGGAGGTGCTGGGGCAGGCCTTCCCCACGGGGGCTTGTCTGGAACCAGCCAGCTTTTCCCAAGAGGTCCCCAGTAGCCCAAGGGAAGACGGGCAGCGTGGCAGGGTTAGGAGTTTTTTCCAACAAATATGCATTGCATACCTCTGATGTGTTAGGGCATTGCCTCTCCAACTTAAACGTGCATACGAATCCCTGAGAGAGTTTGTCAAAGGGCACCTTCCGACTCAGCACGTGTAGGGCAGAGCCCGAGACTATGAGACTACGTTCCCCCCCTTTTTTTTTTTTTTTTACATTTTTTACTGTATTTACTTATTCTTTTAAGTTTATTTATTTTGAGAGAGAGAGCAGGGGAGGGGAAGAGAGAGAGGGAGAGAGAGAGAGAGAGAGAGACTCCCAAGCAGGCTCCTCACTGTCAAGCACAGAGCTCGACCTGGGGCTCAAACTCACAAACTGTAAGATCATGACCTGAGCCGAAATCAAGAGTCAGAGGCTTAAAGCTTAACCGACTGAACCACTCGGGTGCCCCAAGACTACATTGCTAACACACTCCCAGGGACCACTGTTCGAGGGGGAACGGTCTGAGTCGCCAAGTGCTTAGTGCTGTTCTAAAAGCTGGGGATCTAGCAGTGAAATAAAGTGGACGAAACCACCAGTCCTGTGGGAGCTTTCGTTTTAGTGAGGGGAGACCGACAAACTTTATAGACAAAGTTTATAGTGTATTAGATAGTGATATGTGCTAAGGAAAAAAGCAAATCGGGGGCCCCGGGATGGCTCCGTCGGTTGAGCATCCGACTCTTGATTTCAGCTCAGGCCATGATCGCAGGATCATGAGATCGAGCCCCCCCATGGGGCTCTGTACTGAGCTTGGAGTCTGCTTAGGATTCTCAGTCCCTCTCCCTTTGCCCCTCTCCCCTGCTTACATGCGCTCGCGCTCTCTTTTCTCTCTCTCTCTCTCAAAAAAAAAAAAAAATCGGGAAGGGAAAGGAGGATGTGTGGGCTGTTGCTGGGGGGACTGCAGTTTTTGAGGACGGAGTAACTTGATCCACACAAAGTGCTGCTCGGTGAATAAAGCTGCTGGTACTTCGTGAACTCCCGCCACAAAGCTGTGTCTGAGGGCAGTCACTTCGCCCTTCTGTGCCTCCACTTCCTTGAAATGAGGTCAGGAAACGGCGAGGTGATGTGAGGATGAAGTGAGTTAATATCCGTAAAACGCTCCGAGACAAGCCTGGCAACCAGCGAGTGCTCGAGGGTGAACCGCCGTCGTCATCGTCATTTTCTCTCCTGATACATTCATGTGGGTCATGACTGTTTATTTGGACGTCTGCCCCCTTTCTCATGAGCTCCTCGTGGTGAGCTCAGTGTCATCTCTGTGTCCCCAGCGCCCAACTCCAAGCCAGCACACAGGAGGGCCTCTGAATGTCAGCTAGGGGATTCTCGAACTGTTGGGATCTTTCCACCACGGGTGTTGATGGTGTGGTTCAGTTCCTTACTAATTTCATCTGTCCACCCCGTCTCTTCTGGGGAGATGCTTTGCGGTTTCCCACCACAATTGTGGAGTGGCCAGACTGTTTGCCGTCCTGTTTTCTGGCTTTATATATTTTGACGCCAGAGTGTTATTAGCATGGGTCGGGAACGTTTGTCCATGATGGGTCGGTTTGTTTTGTTACCAACTTTGTGTGTACCGATACCTCTTGCTTTTGTCAGATGCTGCTATTTCTTTTTTCTTTCTTTCTTTCTTTAAACATTTTAAGGTTTGTTTATCTATTTTGAGAGCGAATGCACGTGGGCTTGCACTTTCAGGGTTGCACAAGTGGAGGAGCGGGGGAGGGGCAGAGAGAGAGAATCCCAAGCAGGCTCCCTGCCGTGGGACTTGAACCCATAAACCACGAGATCGCGAGATCATGACCTGAGCCGAAATCAGGAGTCCATTGCTTCACCGACTGAGCCACCCAGGGGCCCCGCCGTTTTTTTTTTTTTTTAAACGGTATTGGCACTCTTCTACTTGTCTCTTGGTTCGTATTTGTCTGGTCTTTTTCCTTTTTTTTTTCAACTTTCAGTCTTCTGGGTCACGATGTTTTACAGTATTGGACCTTCATGGAGCATTCTCTGAAAGCTGACCTCGGGTAGGGCCATGTGGAGGGTTCAGTGTGTGGGAAGTTAGAAAATTCTGCCCCAGTGACCTCGGACACAGACAGAATCTGGCTGTGAAACAGAGTCTACACTGCCAGGCCTCGTAAAGTTTAAGACAGGGAGCTGCAGGGGAGGTCCATCCATTCAGTCTCAACGCTGGGCAGTGCTGCTGGGGACACCGTAATGACCATGACTGCCCTGGCCCTTCTGGGTTCACTGTCCAGCAGAAGAGACAAATCCATCTGTAGAGACAGTGATGACTCAGCATGGGCAGGGCTGGGACTCGTCAGAGATCCTTCCCTGGGCAGGTGGGAGGTTTCCCCGGAAGGGAGCTCAGGCAAGCCCTCCCTGTTACAGTTACATTTGAGCAAAGCAAATGGATTAAAGAACTGAGCCACGTGGAGATCTGGAGGGAGAGCATTCCAGTTAGTGGGAAGAACCAATGCAAAGACCATGGAAGGGAAGAGTTCGGTGACTTTGAGGAGTCACAGCAAGGTGCCCGAGGGGGGGAATGCAGGGGGGGAGTCTTACCCAGGCTCGGAGATTCGCTTCTTAGAGAAAGGAATGGCTGAGCTAGTGCCCCAGAGAATATATAGCAAAGCAATGGGGCACAGCGTTCTAGAATCAGATTCCCTGGATTCCTATCCCTGCTCCCACTCGCACCAGTTCTGCGTAGGCCACCTGTCTGGCTTCTGTTTCTTTATTCTTACATTGGAGAGGATAATAGTTTCTACTGAGGGTCAGACAGGGTTGCAAGTACTCAAATCACTCTCTATGCCAGATCTGGTGCCCTCCGGGGTCCACTGGGGGTGTGGAGGAGTGAGGAGGGATGAGGTTGGACTTGTAGGGTACCGGGGCTTTTTCCCAAGGGCACCGGGGAGTCATTCATGGTAGGTTTTGTACAGGGTAGTGACAGGGTCAGGTTTGTGCTTGAAGACCCTTCTGGTTGTGATGTGCAGGATTGGTGGAAGCAGGCACGGCTGGGGCAGGGTGGTGGAAGGACAGACAGGTGACACTTGGATAGATGGCTGCAGTGGAGTCACTTTGGATATCTCTTCAATCAGCCTGGCTTTGTAAGGATCTAGGTGAGCCCTGTTCAATAGAAATATAATGCGAGCCGTATGTGTAATTTAAAATCTTCTAGTAGCCACGTTTTTTAAAAAGTCAAAGAGATGAAGTTAATTTTAAGTAATTTATTTAAATTATATCCTAAGTATTATCATTTTAACAGGTAGCTAATATTTAAAAAGCATTATTGAAAGTATTTAATATTCTTTCCTTGTACTAAGTCTGAGTCAGATTTGGGGCGCCTGGTTGGAAAGGCTGAATGGAGAGGTCCATTTGGACACACAGCTTGAGCCTTGAATGCCAAGCCCAGAGGCTTAGACTCAGTGCCGCGACAGAGGTGGGGAAGGCGGGTGGGGAGGCATCGCAGAGTTCTGCCATTTGTTTTTCAAGGATGATGTGATCCCGCTGCCCAGTTTCCCCCACTGGAAATCTCGGTCTCCAGGGTTCCCAACCAAACCTGGGCACTCAGATCTTTCTGCCTGGTTCCTTCTGGCCCTCAATCCTGAAGCTGCCCGGCCCTTTAAATCTCAACTGTCAATCGGGGCTCCTGTTTAGAGGGAAAGCCGTGTAATGTACCTATCCCTGAATACCATGGCCTCTGTCCTGGCCTTGATCCTCCGTTTTAGCAAGAAGTTGGGAATTGTTCTACGCTCTCTTACACTCCGCTGTTTCCACACCCCCTTCACCTCTCGCCTACTCCTCCCTCTTTCGAAGTTAGGCCCCTTCGCCAAGCCATTCCTTATATGGGCACGGCCCCGAACGGCAGCCGCTCATTGGCTGGGGGCGTCACGCGCGCGTCTGTCAACAAAGGGGCGGAGAGAAAGTAGTCGCGCGCCACCACGCGACGTCCGGAGAGAAGGAGTGAGGGGGCGGGCCCTCTTCACTGGTGCGCGCATGCGTATGTGCTGCCTCCCTCTCCCGCCGCAGGGGGGCGGGGCTCGAGGGTGAGGGCCCTTTGGGGGCGTGTCTAGGTTTCGGGGGTCGTCCGAATGGGGGGGCAGTTCAAAATTTGGGGCTCCCTTCGCGGTTAATCGTTATTTGGGGGCTTGAGAAAGTGTGTGGGTGTGGGGGATACTTGGGGTTCCCTTGAGCTTAGGGGGAGCCTTGGGGTTTGGGTTTGGGTTCTTTCGTAATGTGGAACTTTCGGTTGTATTGTAGGGGTCTCCTTTGTGGTTTGAGATGTCTGGTGGGTTTGCGATTTGAGGAGCTCACGGAGAGACTTAGGAACAAAATAAAGAATCCAGGGGTACCGATGCTGGAGCCAGAATGCCTGGCCTCAACTTCTTCCTACCTGTCTGACCCTCGATTTGGGGTTAAACCTTCCTGTGTCTCATCTGGACACAGGAACTAATTAATACGCTAACCTGCTTCATCGGGACCGAGGAGGATTAGCAGGAGTTGTTAGAACAGTATCTAATAAGCTCCAGCGAACACGCAATAAGCACGTGTCAGTTGTGAGGATTCTTTGGGAGCATTTGGGGGTTTGGGAGACTTTGAAAAATATAAGGTTTGGGATTAGTCTTATGTGTTAGGGAGCTTTTATGTTTTAGGTTGTGGGTGGTTTTTCTTTTTTGGTTTTTTTGTTTTTTGTTTTTTTTTTTCAGTCGAAGGGCTTGTGTGGATTTAGGAAATACGTATAGAGGTTTAGAAAGTATTTGAAGGGGAGTATAGGATTTCAGGAAACTCCTCTTTTTGGGGTATCTGTGAGGTTGGGAAATCACTGTGAATGTCGGAGTCCTTGGTAGACATGGGATTTGCCAGGGGTTCCTTGGGATTGGAGCCTTCTGTGCCGGAGGGGATATTTATAGGTTTAGGAATTTAAATTAGGTTTGGAGAGAGTCTGGATATTTGGGGGAAGGCATATATTCTGAAGATAAGGGTAGGGTCTGAATGGAGGATTTTAGAGGGTAGCCAAGTTGTAGAGTGATCTGTAGAGCATCTATAGAAAATGGCTTTTGCTATGTTTGTGTGTCTATTCCTGAGCATTTGGATGTATTGATGAATGGTAGACTTCGTCCTCTATAGGTTTTAGGGGTTGTATGGTGATTCTTGTTTGGAACAAAGAACTGGGATTTCAGCAGGGGTTGTAAGTATTTGAGGGGAAGGTGGGATCATGGATTATGAGGGATAAGTATTTTTAGGATTAGGACTCTCTTTGTGACTGGTGTCTGTGGGTGTTTGGAGGCTGTCTGGATTTTGAATGCTGTCCACAGGACCACGAAATGATGGAATTTTTAGTGGTGTCTGTGGAATTGCCTGAATTTAGAATTCAGGACCCCTGGAATAGTCTGTAGTGCAGGGGTCAGCTGACTTTTTCTATAAAGGGCCAGATAATGAGTATTTTAGACTTTGCAAGGCTGTATGTCCTCTGTTGCAACTCTTCTGCCATTGTAGTATGCAAGCAGCCATAGATAGATGAGCATGTTTCAGTAAAACTTTATTTGCAGAGACAGGCAATGAGCTGTAGTTTGCTGACCCCTGGTCTATGGGCACGTGGGAGGTTGGAGGTTTGGGGAGGTTGGAGGTTTGGAGAGTATTTTGGTTTCAAGATGCCTGGAGGGAGATGGGCCCAGGGAATGATTGAGACGGAGGGATGTGCTGCCTGGTGGTCCTGCAGTGCAAAGCAGTCACGTCAGACTCAGTGGCAGAATTGTCTCCAGAGTAGGTCATGCACAAAGTCGTTGCAAAATAAAACGGTCGTCATTAAGAGAGCCCTGAATTGAAAAGTCCCGAAACCAAGTTTCGGGGGCCTGGTGTTACACCAAGTAAACCCTTCCCCACTCAGTTGACCTGTGTCCACCAGAGCAGGCCTTCTTATCCCAGAGGTCTGTGGCTGTGCCTAACGGAATTAATCACCTGCACGGTCTTGTGCGAGTGTGTGCGTTCTTTCTGGGCGAGGACACACAGCTTTGAGGGTGTCTCAGGGAGCCCCACGACTTGAACAAAGTGAAGAGCCGATTTCTTAAGGGCCTGGCTGGCTGTGACCTTGGATTTTCTCCCCCTGCCCAGCCTACCTCATTCCTTCCTCCGTGGGCTCAAGTAGCCGTAGCTGTGGGTAGGGCTGGGAATTCTTGTCTTTTGAGGAACTGGCTGTTGGGTGAGCAAGGAGACAAAGGAGGACCTGTCAGTTGCTGCTTTCACTAGAGTCCAGGGTTATGGTAGCAGGAGGCCTCTGGATCATGAGTGAGGGCAGTCGGGCCACGGAGTATGACCTGCATGGTTGCGACAGGCTGCCGGCTCTGGTTACCTTCTGGGTGTTTAAAGACCGGCTCTCATCCCCTCTGCAGCCCTCCCTTTGCTCACCTGTGCAGCGGGGCAGGAGTAGAGTTCTCAGTGGTCTAAGTTGGTCTGTCCCCTCAGAAGAGGTTGAGGCCAGGGTGGTAGGAGGAGGGCAAGCTATTCCCCCACCTCCCCAACCTCCTCTTCCCTGTCTCCAGGTGGCCTGCGGAGCCTCCCCTGACCATCCAAGCAGGTCCTGAAATGCGGTGAACCCCGGCCTGTCTGCTACCGTTTCCCAGGATGGACCGCAGCGGCCTCCTGCCCTTCCAGCTCTGGTGCCCCCGGCCCTTTGGCACCTACTCCCAGAACCAGCCGCGCCCGCCTGCCGCGGCCCTCAAGCCATCAGCCTGCCCAGAGCCGGGCAGCGGGGCCGAGCCAGACCACGGGCCTGCCCACTCAGAGAACACCCCGCCCACCTTGGCCACGGAGGCCCCTGCCTCCCAGCCTGCCCCGCTCCTCTCCGCAGCAGCTGCTGGCGATGAGGGGCGAGTCCTGCTGGACACGTGGTACGTGATCAAGCCCGGGAATACAAAGGAGAAGGTGGCCTTCTTTGTGGCCCACCAGTGTGGTGGGGGCAGCCGGGCCAGCTCCATGAAGGTCAAGGGGCACTGGGGCAGTGACAGCTCCAAGGCCAAGCGGAGGAGGCGCTGTCTTGAGCCTACTAAGGCTCCACCGGACCCAGGGGGCCGAGAGGGGCCCCCTGCCACTGAAGGGGCCCCAGCCTCAGCTGGTGAAGATGTAGACCTGCTCTCTGTGGCTGAGATGGTGGCCCTGGTGGAACAGCGGGCCGCCCTGGCCCTGCAGAACTACCCACGCCCCAGCACCCCGGCGCCTGTGGTCTTCGTGTCGGCTGAGCAGGGTGGGCCTGCCAAAGGGCTGGGGTCCGAGCGGAGGTCTGGTGGCGGGGACTGCAGCCGCGTAGCTGAGGCAGTGGCCCACTTTGAGGCCCAGCGGGACAGCCCTCCAGCCAAAGGCCTCCGCAAAGAGGAGCGGCCTGGGCCCGGCCCAGGGGAGGTGCGCATCGCCTTTCGTATCTCCAACGGCCGAGAGCCCCGGGCGCCCGACGGCAGCTTGCCCAACGGGAGCAGCGGCCGGCCCGGTTGTGCCTACCCTGGCAGCCCAGGCCCCGGGGCCCGAGCCAAGGACAAGATCACCTGTGACCTGTACCAGCTCATCAGCCCCTCTCGGGATGCCCTGCCCAGCAATGTGGAGTTCCTTCTGGCTCGGGCGGATGAAGCCAGCGAAGGGGAGAGCCCGGTCCCTGCCAGGCCTGAGGACACTCCCCCGGCGCCCCCTCCACCCCCTGCCCGGGACTGCGGCGCGTCAGGCTTCCACGTGGACGTGGTAGTGACGGGTGTGGTGGACGAGTGCATCTTCTTTGGCAAGGATGGCACCAAGAATGTGAAAGAGGAGACGGTGTGCCTGACGGTCAGCCCCGAGGAGCCGCCCCCACCGGGCCAGCTCTTCTTCCTCCAGTCCCGGGGTCCGGACGGGCCCCCCGAGCCGCCCCCAGCCGACTCCCCCACCACCGCGCCAGGCCCGGACGACGCTGAGGGGACAGCGGACACCTCCCTGTGCCGCCTGTATCGGCACGTGTCGCACGACTTCCTGGAGATCCGCTTCAAGATCCAGCGGCTGCTGGAGCCGCGGCAGTACATGCTGCTGCTGCCCGAGCACGTACTGGTGAAGATCTTCAGCTTCCTGCCCACGCGGGCCCTGGCGGCCCTCAAGTGCACCTGCCACCACTTCAAGGGCATCATTGAGGCGTTCGGTGTGCGGGCCACAGACTCGCGCTGGAGCCGCGACCCCCTGTATCGCGATGACCCTTGCAAGCAGTGCCGCAAGAGATACGAGAAGGGTGACGTGTCGCTCTGCCGCTGGCACCCGAAGCCCTACCACCACGACCTGCCTTACGGACGTTCCTACTGGATGTGCTGCCGCCGAGCGGACCGCGAGACACCTGGCTGCCGCCTGGGTCTGCACGATAACAACTGGGTGCTGCCCTGCAACGGGCCGGGCGGGGGCCGGGCCGGCCGGGAGGAAGGGAGGTGAAGCCGGGGGAGGGGTGGGGGGAGAGCCCACCGTGCCCACCCCTCCCCCTGCCCCCTGGGAGCCCAGGGCCAGGACTGGGTCACCCTCCAGGCGGTGTTGATCCCCTTCCAGAACCGAGATGGGGTTCAGGGGGATGATTGAGAAGGCACTCCGATCGACCAACCCCTATTGGTTTTCTACTCTTCAGACCCAGGGCCCGTGGACCCCTCGAGCAGGGTGGTTTTTATCAGCATCTCAGTTTCTTCTCCGTTCAGCCCCAACACCCTCCTTGCCACTCTACACCCCAGGGACCCACCAGCAGGGAGCAGACGGCAGCTAATTTTGGTACTACTTAAGGGTTCCCCCATTCTGGCCCCCTTCTGCTGCACCCCCCGCCCCCATCCCATGCCAGCCAGTTCTTTGTCTCTGGAGCTGTGTTCTCCCAAGAGGCTGCAGCATGCAAAGCCAGTATCTCTCCTGACCTGCCACACCAGGGCTCACCTCCTCTTTAGGAATTGGGGGCCATCAGATCACAGATCAGATGTGGCACTTTTCACGGCAACCTGCCATTTCTAGATGTTTTCCCCATTAAAACAATAAAAAAAAAAAAATCACTGTTTTCTTCTTAATCTAAAGCTACCAGTCTCTTCGCTTCCCCTAAAGAAGAGAAAATAAAGCTGAAATATAAAAATTCCCCATCTCCCATTATTTAAACTATTGCCATCGCTTCTCTACCCACCCCCCCCCCAAAAAAAAAAAAAAAAGCTGTGAAGCCCTTTGCCTCGCTCTTGACAGCGTGGGGGGCCGGTGGGCAGGGACTGTGGGTTTGAATTTCCGGATTGTTTTTCCTTCCATTCTGGGTACTTGTTCAGGCATTGGGGTCTCTCCAGCCCCAGCCACGTGAGTTTCTTTAGAATCCTTTGGTCACCTGAGACCTTGATTTTTCAGGCAGTTTGGTCTGGGGTGTTCTCGTTTGTTCTGTTTGGGGTTTTTTGTGGTGTTTTTTTTTTTTTTTTTTTTTTTTTTTTTTGGATTTTGGATTTTCATCCTTGTGGTTCTGGAAGCTTCTGGTGTGTGGCATCTGGCCAGTTTTGAATTGGTCCTTTCTATAAAATCAATATTTATAAGGCTGGGCCCGGACTGGTTTGTGTGTTGTTTAGGGAGGGGGTTGGAGAGAGGAGGGAGCCCTGGGCCACTGCATGGTGAGCTGGAAAAGACAGAAAAGAATCGTTAGCCAAGTCCCTTAGCTTGAGATTGTTTTTGACTCTCCTTCGTCTGTGTCCATTTGGATTCAAAAATCTCAACGTTATTAGTAGCCTAAACAAGATAGTTTTTATTTCTTTAGAAATCCAGGATGGGCAGGTACGGTGGCCCTGAAGTCATCAGGAACCCAGGCTGCTTCCGACTCACTATTCTTTGGCTGTGGCCCCCATCCTCATGGTCTAAGATGGCTGCTAGAACTCCAGCCATCATTATTTTGCAGGAAGAGAAGACTCCTTCCTCCCAGAACTACTGCACCATACAACATTTCATTAGTCACAGCTTAAGCCACATGGAAGGGCTGCAAGGGAGACTGGGAAATGTTGTGCCTTAGCTGGTACATCATGCCCAACAACAAAAAAAACTATTGTTACTAAAGATTCCTGTGTTCCCCATAACTGAAGCTTTAAAATCCTCACTTATTTACTAAATAAGAAGAGGAATTAAGTCATTTAAACAATTCAAGTATAAAGGAAGAGAGAAGAATGGATTTTGAGAGCCAATTAACAGTCTCTGATATTCTCATCAGGGTATAAAAATGACCAGAGAGACTAGGATACATCACGGTCGTTATTTAATACTTAGATTTTGGAATCAAAGAGAGCTGGGTTTGAGTCTTGGCTTGGCTTTGTGGGCCAGTTTTCTGGAGGGAGAAACCAGATTTGGATTCTTCTGCTGAATAGAGGTAGTTAAAAAATCGTAAAAGCATCAAATAGCCAATATAATACAGTTAAAGGACACATCACACCAGAAATTTAAGGGAAAGGTACATGGGGCATGGAAGCTACTTTTGCTCTGAGGGCGTTTGCTTATGCCAACAAACTTGAGTTTCCTATTTGTAATCTTGTAGGGACAAGCAGACTGAAGTCAAGGCCAAGCCTGCCCAAGGTGGGAAATCTCACAGGAGCTGGGATCCCACCAAACTACAAGCTCCAGTAAGGATGACCCAGAAGACTGCAGAGAAGATGTTCTAAACACTGAGGGGAGGGGCGCCTGGGTGGCTCTGTCAGTGAAGCACCCGACTTTGGCTCAGGTCATGACCTCACGGTTCGTGAGTTCAAGCCCCGTGTTAGGCTCTGTGCCGACAGCGCAGAGCCTGGAGGCTGTTTGAGATTCTGTGTCTCTCTCTCTCTCTCAAAAATAAACATTAAAAAAAATTTTTTTTTTTAAATAACACTGAGGGGAGCACAAGACCAAAGGAGAGAAAAAAGTGGACCCCAAGAATTCATGGACACAGGCTGGCCCTTGGCTCAGGTTTGTGGCCCAGGTTTGTATCATCTGTGTTGCAGGGTACTTCTTAGCTGAGACGTCTGGCAGAAACAAACATAAATCCTCTGGGGTAAGGAACTGTCATCTAGAATGCCCACAAGTGATTTTTCAGACAATGACTAGTAGACAGTCACAGACAACAGCAGAAGCAGACTCACAAAGGCTTCACAGGGTGAACCGGTCAGGCACAGGTTAGAATACAGGTATCCCCCCCCTTCCCGAAAGTTCAAGTTAATTCACCTCGCCTTTACACAAGACCTACATTAGTACGGTAACGGCTCTTTTCATAAAAGTGAAAATCTTCAGATCTCTTTCCTTTAGTGAAAATAGGTACCAGTGTAGGTCTTTTTGTAAAAGTGGTGGGACATGAACTTTTGGAAAGCAGGGGATACTCTTTGTGGCTTATAGGTTTCATAGGATTGCTCTATACAAGAGCTTGGAAATCTGGGGGGTGGGGAGTGGGCGGAAAGAAGCCACAGGAGCGCCTGGGTGGCTTAGTTGGTTAAGCGTCCAACTAAGCTCATGTCCCGTTCTCACGGCTAGTGAGTTCGAGCCCCACGTTGGGCTCTGTGTTGACAGCTCACAGCCTGGAGCCTGCTTCGGATTCTGTGTCTCCCTCTCTCTCTGCCCCTCCTCCACTCATGTGCATGCATGCTCGCTCTCTCTCTCTCTCTCTCAAAAATAACATTTTTAAAAAGGGGGGGTGGGCGAGAGGGGAAAATGGGTGAGGGGCACTGAGGAGGGCACTTGCTGGGATGAGCACTGGGTGTTGTATGTAAGCGATGAACCACAGGAATCTACCCCAAAAACCAAGAGCACGCTTTACACACTGTATGTTATCCAATTTGACAACAGATTATATTAGTAACAATAACAGGAAAAAAAAAGAGCCACAGACTCAATAACCCAAAGTAAAAACTCAATAGCTGGGCTAAACAGCAAATAAGACATGACTGAAAAAAGATTCGTTGAACTAGAGCTAGGTCTGAAAAGTAGCACAGAGACAAAAAAGAGACACACAAAAAAATATGAAAGAATGTCATGGAAAATACAATGTCTAACATATTCAGTTGACATTCTAGAATCAGAAGAGACAATGGTACAAAGATAATATTTAAAGACAGGATGGTTGGCAAATCCTAGACTGATGAATGACACCAACAAGCCCAAATAATTATAAGCAGAGCGCATTAAAAAAAAAGTGCCTCTAGACACGTTGCATGAAAGTGTCCGGCTATGTGACCTATAGCCATTGATTTCTCTGAAGCTGTTTGTTCAAGTGCAAAATGAGAATACTGACCCTTCTTCGAAAGATCAATGTGTGAGTCATCGGCACCTGGATTGCTCAACAGGTGTACTTCAGATAAACCTAGCGGCCCCTCCAGAGTTGTAAAACCGGAAAGCCCCTAGTTTGGGGGACAAGTGGGAGCTGCGAAAGACACCTGGCCAAGCATCAGCAGCCTCATCTGTGAAATGGGGCTAAGGATCCCTGTCCCCGATTCAAGGGTGGAATGTGCATCAGGCCTCCCTGCCCGGTGCCTGGTACTCAGTACACCCCACTGGGAGGTCTTGCAGGAGACGTAGAGAGCCCGGGGTGTGTAACTGAACACACGGCTCCCTGTCTCTAACACCGAGGTGATGGTCTCCCCTCCCTCGGGGATGGCAGTGAGGCTAAGGGGAGATGAAACCCTCTCGAGTGCTTGGCACTGGGGGTAACACACAAGAAATGAACAAACAGGAGCCGTGCCTGTGGCTTGAGATCCAGGCCACCCTGGCTGTTGATAGAAGACACAGAACTTCCATTTCTAAACTCGACTAGTGCCATGTCCACCTGTAAGAGGCCACCAGTGTCCCCCCAACCCCACTCTAACCTGCAGTTAATTATGCGGCAGGAGGAGCTACTTTTTGTCAACCATCTGTTGGGCCAGCACAGGTGATTTCTGGGAGATGAGACGGGGTTAAGAGTGCAGTCGTGGGTGAGGACGTGGGCTCTGTAAACAACGGGGTATCATTCTCAGCCCTAGCCACTTCCTTTGCAAAATGAGAACCGAAATTGTACCTACCTCAGGACTTGGGCGGTGACTCCGTGAGCCAATCTGTGTAAAGTGCTCATGGTGCCTGGCACACGGCAGGTACCAGATGAAGGTCAGCTACTGTGGGAAACCACGAACGAGGACCTATTTCTCCTCTCTCATTTGATATCCTGGGTTTCAGCCTGTGAGTTTTCTGGAGTCTTCTCCAGCCCCGAGCTGGCTCGGAAGGCCAGTGCTCACCTTCACTACGTAACTGCCTGCCGGGACTCCATCAAAGTCACAAAACCAGCAGGCACAGAGCCCGGCAGAGGACTCCCTTTCTAGGCACCCTCCATGTTATGGTTTTCTTTTGAGTAGGTTTGCTAAGCCGTTGGGAACGCACCTTAAGGACAGTGTGTCTCCCCCAGCTTTATGGGGGATGGGAAGGCTTCCTCGGGTGCTCATTGCAAAGTCCCAGCCCCTCTCTGGAGTTCTGATCCAGCAAGTTTGGGTGGTGGTTGTGGGGCGGGGGGGAACGGGAGGAACCTGGGATTCTGAATTTTTTAATAAGCACTCCAGTTGAGCATGAATATTAGGTAGGGTTGGGAAATACGTCCTCAACTAAAGAGTTGCAGTGACCCCCACCTTCTCACACTCCCACACCCACAACAGAAAGACAAAGGATGGTTTGGTAGACCTGGTGGGCAGTGAATCAAGGTCCGTCTTATTCCCTCCACGGACACACTCAAACTTGTCAAAACCGAGTGTTTCCCAATGTGACTTCTGAGGTACCCTAGTTCCACGAGCCTTGCAATAAAGGGGTTCCACGCTGAAATAGTTTGGGGGAAACAACACTGCATCCTGCCTTACTCTTGGAAATGTCACGTTGTGCAATGAAGAAACTCCTTTAATGTCTCATCCCGCGTCTCTGATCCCCCTTTCTCATGCAACACCTAGTCATGCTAATTCTGCAGAATATGTTCCCCAGAAACACTGGTTTATTGCCCTTGGGTCTGGCAGATTCGAGTCCCCAAATATCGGCTTCCGTCTCCTCTGTTCCTGTTTACAAGCACGTCCCCTGTGGACCCCCCATGGCAATCCACTGACATCGTAAGAACATAAGCCACGGAGGATTCATTTGGTGGGGCGGTGCTGCTGGTCCAGATGCCTGGCCAAGGTCTGCTGACTCCAACCAAACAGCATTTGGTGCCTGTGAACCTTCAAACCAAGTGCTTCAGGACAGGGTCTGAGCTCTCAAGCCTTTGGCTCTCGCGCCCACAGTGGCCTTGTCTCTTCCGTGTCTTTGAAGAGTGACAGCTTGAGACCATCAAAGGAAAGAGGGTCTTCCGATCATGGCATAAATAGAGCGGAAGAAAGGATCAGGCAGCCTGGCTTGAGCTCTGTTGGCTCTGGGTGCCCTTGGGACGTCCCAGCTGGACACTTCTCCTTCAGAGTCTGCCAAGGGGGGGCTAGAGCCCCAGATACTCAGCCAGGAACACGGCGAGGATGCGGCTCAGGTTGTGCACCGTGGGGGGGTGCAGGTTGGCCTCCGAGTCGCCAGGCGTGTGCCAGACAGAGGGGAAGGGCATGGAGATGAGGTGGAGTACTGGGACCCCTGTAGGAGAGAGGGGAGGCTTGGTCAGGCCGACGGCCGACCCAGGAGCCCAGACCCAGGCCCGAGCAAAGTTGTCTCACCCCCACCCAGAAGATACTGAGTCCTGGCCCTTGAAGAACTCTGAATGACGATTTTATGCACGTGAGGGCAACGTGTTCATTTGAAAAAACACATCTGGTGTATCTATTGTTCTCAGACACACATTAGAGAAACTGAATAGTTAATGGATTAGGCAAAGACCAGAAGAAGGGAAAGAGGGCCTTTGAGTTTCCTTACCAGGTAGACTATTAGGCTGTTTTTCTGTTCTTTATTTATAGCTCGTACCTTTTAAAAAAATTTTTTTGTTTAAAGCAATCTCTAGGCATGCCTGGGTGGCTCAGTCGGTTAAGCATCTGACTTCGGCTCGGGTCACAATCTTGAGGTTCGTGGGTTTGAGCCCCACATCGGGCTCTGTGCTGATGGCTCAGAGCCTGGAGCCTGCTTTGGATTCTGTGTCTCTCTCTTTCTCTGCCCCTCCCTCGCTCACATTTTGTCTCTGTCTCTCTCTCAAAAATAAATAAATAAATATTAAAAAAAATTTTTTTAAGCAATCTCTAACACCCAGTGTGGGGCTCCAATTCACAACCCCAAGATCAAGAGTCAGATGCTCTATCTACTGAGCTAGTCAGGTGCCCTTAGCTTGTACTTTTATCATACATGTTCTATTCTAGGCCCTACACTGAGGCCATACACATCCCCACACACCATTTTATCCCTGCAATAATCCTTTAGAGTAAGCCTATATTTATCCCTATTTCATAGATGAGGACACCCAGGCACAGAGGCAGGCACAGTGATTTGCTTAAGCTCTGGCCTCTAGTAAACCTGCACAGCAGTAATTGGAACCCAGGACACCTGTCTCCTAAGTCTGTTTTCCTAATCCCTGCACTGCCATGAGTTCCTGTCCTCAGAGCACTTTCTTCTGTGTTTGTTAATATCTGTCAATATGCAATATCCTCTGTGTTTGTCAATATCGTTCCCCGCCCCCCCACTAGACAGGACCCAGGCAGATTATTGTCCATCACTGTATCCCTGACACCTGGCCCAGTACTGCAGTGGGAAATAGTCACTGAATGAATCAATAAAGAAGGCTCTGGAGGGGCACCTGCATGGCTCAGTCGGTTAAGGATCTGACTCTTGGTTTTGGCTCAGGTTTGTGAGTTTGAGCCCCGCATCAGGCTCTGTGCTAACAGTGCGGATTCTCTCTCTCCCTCTCTCTCTGCCCCTCCCATGCTCATGCTCTCTCTCTCTCTCCAAAAGTAAATAAATAAACTTAAAAAAAAAAAATCATTAAAACGGACTTCAAGCTGTATTACAAAGCTGGAATCATCAAAACAGTATAATACTAGCACAAAAACAGACACTCAGATCAATGGAACAGAATAGAGAGCCCAGAAATGGACCCACAAATGTATGGCCAACTACTCTTTGACAAAGCAGGAAAGAATATCCAATGGAATAGACAGTCTCTTCAGCAAGTGGTGCTGGGAAAACTGGACGGCGACATGCAGAAGAATGAACCTGGACCACAAAGATAAACTCAAAATGGATGAAAGACCTAAATGTAAGACAGGAAGCCATCAAAATCCTCGAGGAGAAAGCAGGCAAAACCCTCTTTGACCTTGGCTGCAGCAACTTCTTACTCAACACGTCTCTGGAGGCAAGGGAAACCAAAGCAAAAATGAACTATTGGGACCTCATCAAAATAAAAAGCTTCTGCACAGCGAAGGAAATAATCAGCAAAACTAAAAGGCAACTGACGGAATGGGAGAAGATATTTGCAAATGGCATGTCAGATAAAGAACTCATCAAACTCAACATCCAAAAAACAAATAATCCAGTGAAGAAATGGGTAAAAGACATGAATAGACACTTCTCCAAGGAAGACATCCAGATGGCCAACCGACACATGAAAAAATGCTCCACATCACTCATCATCAGGGAAAGACAAGTCAAAACCACAATGAGATACCACCTCGCACCTGTCACAATGGCTAACATTAACAACTCAGGCAACAACAGATGTTGGCGAGGACGGGGAGAAAGAGGACCTCTTTTGCAGTGCTGGTGAGAATGCAAACTAGTGCAGCCACTCAGGAAAACAGTATGGAGGTTCCTCAAAAAATTAAAAATAGAACTACCCTACAACCCAGCAATTGCACTACTAGGCATTTATCCACGGGATACAGGTGTGCTGTTTCGAAGGGACACATGCCAATGGTTGTAGCAGCACTATCGACGATAGCCAAAGTATGGAAAGAGCCCAAATGGCCATCGACGGATGAATGGATAAAGAAGATGTGGTATATATACACAATGGAGTATTACTCGGCAACCAAAAAGAATGAAATCTTGCCATTTGCAACTACATGGATAGAACTGGAGGGTATCATGCTAAGCGAAATTAGTCAGAGAAAGACAAATATCATATGACTTCACTCATATGAGGACTTCAAGATATAAAACAGATGAACATAAGGGAAGGGAAACAAAAATAATCTAAAAACAGGAAAGGGGACAAAACATAAGAGACTCTTAAATATGGACAACAAACAGAGGGTTACTGGAGGGGTGTGGGAGGCAGGATGGGCTAAATGGGGAAGGGGCATTAAGGAATCTACTCCTGAAATCATTGTTGCACTATATGATAACCAACTCGAATGTAAATTAAAAAAATAAATAAATAAAATAAATAAAAATGAAAAAAAAAATAAATAAAAGGTGCCCTAGAGGGGCGCCTGGGTGGCGCAGTCGGTTAAGCCTCCGACTTCAGCCAGGTCACGATCTCGCGGTCCGTGAGTTCGAGCCCCGCGTCGGGCTCTGGGCTGATGGCCCGGAGCCTGGAGCCTGTTTCCGATTCTGTGTCTCCCTCTCTCTGTGCCCCTCCCCCGTTCATGCTCTGTCTCTCTCTGTCCCAAAAATAAATAAATGCTGAAAAAAAAAAAAAT